TAATTAATGCATATAATTTTTTAAAATTTAACTTGACAGAAGCTACACTTCCTAACCTACGAGTGCAGAAAAAGTAGCAGATCGACCGCTTTACTAACGGTAGGAAGGGTGCACCCAACTCTTTTTTAACTTTGTATCAATGTTGAATATCACAATACTAACTTAAGTATTTTAATAAAAAAATAAAAAAATATATTTTATAAATCTAATTTATTATTTTATTAAAAATTTGATTAAGTTGTTGCAGATTAATTGTTTTATTTAAAAGTATATTACTTTATAATAATTACTTAATTTAATTTTATTATTAATTTATAAACAAAAATTACATAATTATGAGTCGTATGAATAGAAAATGCTAATTTGCTCAACTAGGGTAAGCTCCTTTACATTGTTTTTCCTTATTATACCCTACTCTATTTTCTAATACTCTTGAGCAAAAATGGTATCTTGAATTAGGTAACTTATGAATTAAGTGACTCTTGAATTAAGTGATTTTATAGATAATATAGATCTATAGAATGTTATTATAAAATTATAGTGTTTTAAGGATGACATACTATCTATACATATATTACATCGGTAAATTTACTCTCCATAAATATGTGAATTACTTTAAAATAAATAAGGGTTTTATGCCTATTTTGATGATATAATTTTATTTATGTTTTTTAGATAAATTTATTAATTATTATTTTTATTTAATTTTGTGATTGAAGTACAATAATAACATATTACAGAGATAAAGAAAAATATTCAACAAATAACATATAATTTTATTAAAAATCTAAATTTCTAAATTAAAGATTTAAGTTTAAATTTTAGATTGAATAAAAAGAAATTTAGGAAAGAAAAAACTATTCCTATTACAGAAGCAATAATCAAATGTATAAATAAATAAAAAACTTATTAATATAAAATATTTTAATTTAAAAATGGCAGTGAAAGCCAAGGTCAATCCCGACACAACTACAAATACTTCTTAGGAAGAATAAAGAATCCCACCAATGTTACCATATACCATTTCTTCTAAACCTGCACACAATTTTTGTTTATATGCACTGTTTTGTAATTTAAATTATTTCAATTATCTCAACGATTTAAATAATTTAATGGTTATCACATTTCACTGAAAGTAAAAAATTTTAAATTCGAATAGTATAACATGCAAGTAATCATAAAATAAAAAATGAGAAATTATTATCTTTCATTATACAATCAAGGTAAAAAAAAAATTATTTCAACCATAAATTACAAATCATTTATTAGGAGATTTTTTTTAATTAAATAATTAATATTTTATAATCTAATATAATTCAAACTTTATTTCCGAATATAAAACACTTTATCTCGTTTTTTTAACTGGGTTCGAACACTATATAGGTGATATCCTTGAGATCTTCTGCTTCATTACGTATTCAATCAACGACGTTGCGTTTGAGTAAGATGAACCTCCTTCCACCGCCCTCTTTCCCATCTCCCCTACCTCCCTAGCCCTTTTCCTCCTCCACTCCCCATCTTCCCCTCCGCCCATCACCTCCTTCACTCCCTTCGCCACCTCTTCCTTCATCACTAGCACATCTTCCTTCTCCTTCTCCCCAGTGGGTCGCACCACCCCCAACCTCACTCCAATCTTCAACACTTCTACCATAAACGTTTCATTTAAAAATTGTTCGGCAAACATTGGCCACGTTAACATAGGCACCCCAACACGTATCCCTTCTAGGATGGAATTCCACCCACAATGTGTTAAGAACCCTCCAATAGCTGGATGTGACAAAATCAAAACTTGAGGTGCCCATCCTCGGATAATTAGGCCTCTTCCTTTAGTCCTCTCAACAAATTTCTCCTCCATGAACCAATTCTCCAATTCCAGTGAGCAATCCGTCTTCTTAATTATCCAAATAAATGGAGACTCTGATGCCTCCAGACCCAAACCGAGTTCAATCAATTGCTTGCAAGACAAGTTAGAAATGCTACCAAAGCAAACATATATCACTGATTTTTCATCCTTGGTGTCGAGCCAACTTAAGCAATCATGTCCATCATGATCAATTGATGCGCCCTTGTTGCCACATAGCGGTCCAATGCACCACAAGTTTTTCACTTGTTTCCTATACCCTTCCACGTACCCAGGTTCCATCTCTTGAAAAGAATTAACCAGCACTCCATCGGAGGATTTTTCCGATGATTTAAACTGGGTTAAAAGGTTGATCCATTGATCGGAAGCACCAGTTGTGGGCAACTGCGCCCCGGTGAACATGATTTTGTCAGGTATATCTGGAACTAGGAATGGCTCGGAGTGGGACTTGACTGTCTCGTATGCCTTGTGGATACTAATGTTTTGGGAACAAAGCAGCGAAAAACAGGAAATTGTATGGAAAACAACCTTAGGAATTCCGAACTTACGAGAAAGATCGGATGTCCAAGGAAGACAAAAATCCGACACAATGCAATCCGGAGGCAGCGACACCGTCTGAAGCCAATTCTCGAGCGGTTCTTGCATCATGTTACTAGCTAGGAAGGGGTCATTACTTCCACATTTACTAGATGATCCGGCTTCTAGAAGATGAATGGTGCGGCCGAGACCGGATTCCTGAGCATCGTGGTTGACAATGATGGTGTTGACTCGAGCAGCATTTTGGGATGTGACGACGAGAGTGACATTGAGGCCGCGGCTGGCCAGCAGTTGGGCCATGTTTGTGAAAGGGATGAGATGGCTTTGGGACATGAGGGGGACTAGGAGGAAGTGAAGAGGTGTTGAGGAAGCCATGGAGGAATGGAATGAATGAGCGGAAACAGGGAAAGATTAGATGCGTACACAACATGCGTGCATCATATACATGCACTTTTGCCGGAGGTTATAACAAAATCAAGATAATTAGTTTGAAGCATTCAGTTGCATAGAATTTGGTGGGACATGCACAATGTTCGGAAAACAGTTCTGTTTTTGTTTTTGTTTTTGTTTTATTTTTATTTTTTTTCTCTTTTAATAGGATTCTCTAGACAAGCATGTATAGAGCTGGTTTGAAACATTGTGCCTTGAATATCTCCACTACCTCAAAGTCTCGAATGTTACTCCGTTTAAGAATCTAGTAGCTTAACAGAAAATGTTTCAATCGGAATTAGACTTGGTAATCCTGGAATTCTGGTGCTAATCCTGGAATTCTGGTGCTAATCCTCGCTCTAATACCAGCATCCATAAAACGTGGATCTGGTTGCCGGATGTTACTGAGATAGATATCAACTTATTTTTCATATCCAACCTTAATATCTCCACTTCCAAACTGGCGGCAGTTTGGGATGCTAACATCCGTTTCCAGAATTGAGCGGCTGCGGAGTCGTGTAGCATGACAGGGTTGAAGGTTATGTCTATTACAAAAAGACATGGACAATCTGTTTGCAGCCGCAAAAGGAAAGGCACTTTCCGTGAGGATAAATGAAAAGGAAACAGTTCGTATGAAGTTTGCATGAACAGGATTGGAGGTTGATCAACCTGTTGTGGAAGATAGGTCATCAGGGACATCAGTATGGACTTGGGGTTGATTCACTTCAGTCTGAGGACTGATTTGCAGGTGTCATCTGAAAAATTGGGATAAGATAGTCTAATAATCATCTCAAGTATGCAATTGATTGGTATTGCTGGTATTTTATGGCTAGGATCGATCTTGCTACGGGAAAAGGAAAGTTGATTTCTGCTCAGGGGGCATATTACCATGGAACTCAATAATTTATTCAACATTAAGTAACCAAGTATTTACAAAAATAAACACCAAATGACTTATTCTCAGCAGACAAATAAGCACGTTATTTAAGACATGTTTCATCTTCATCATCATTCACTCCTTACAAATTTCAGTCTTGAGTGTACCTGGAACTTAAGAAGACTTCTTATGCAATAAAGGATCTGAAATGACCTGAGGTTCGAAGTCTGGTTTCAAATATCGAGCAAGCAAGTCTGCATATAACTCATACCGAGCAGTCATTCTGAATCCCCATTTGTCTTTCAGTTGCCTACAGAGATTAAGATCCATGTCTGAGAGCAGCAATCCATCCTTGTAACGAGAGAGTGATGGGGTGCATGAAGCATCTGGTGCTGAAAAGTGACTGGATCCATAGAAATGTCCAAAGTCCGAATGTTGAGGCTTTCCATCCCCTGAAGTGAATGGATTAGGGAATGTCTCTGTTCCAACACGATTGATTGACCCAACAAAATAGCTATTTGCTATTGCAGCATTACGTGCCTGCAAAAGATTCAACAACAAATCAAGTGGCTTCACATCAACTTCGTACAAACTATGATGAATTAGTATGGCCATCAATCATCCTTAGTTTAATGTGAAAAATAAAGATAATTGGGTTAAGGAAGAACCTCAATGGGCCACATTGGTTCACTCAGTTCACCAACAGTAGCTGAAGGGTTGAAGACAATCTCTGCACCATTCAAGCCAAAGGCCAACCAATTCAAAGGGTGGTGCCTCCCATAACATATGTTAACAGCAATTTTCCCATAAGCTGTCTCAAATACAGGATGCCCAGTATTTCCCTCCATATAATATGTGCTCTCATTGAAGTCCCCCACCCTAGGGATATGATTCTGCCAAATCCATGGCCATTTATGCATCCAACAAAGGACTTCGACAGAAACATAGATATAAACACAGATAAAGTACTGCACCTACCTTCCGATGTTTGCCAATTATGTTACCATGGTTTCCAATTATGATGGCAGTATTCCAGATTGTCTCCCCATGATTTACATCCCTCTCAAGAATTGGGCTTATAACAACCATGTTATACTTGCGAGCAAATTCCTGAAGAAATTGAGTAGATTCCCCATCAACAGGCTCTGCAAATTCACACCACCTCTTTTCACGCGTACAAAAGGCAAATGGCATCATCCATGCTTCCTGAATTTATATCAAATCAAAATGTTCATTGGGACCTTCGTACCAACGAAATATAGGGGCAACATAAAAGATTCAGACATACTTGCAAGCATAGTATGTTGACTCCCAAAGCACCAGCAGTGTCAATGATTGGCTTCAGTTTCTGAAAGATGGCCCTTTTTTGGTCCAAAAATGGAGCAGTTGTTGGAAGAACTATCGAGTTCTGAATGAGACCAACCCTCACCATTCGAGATTCTCTCAATAACTCTTTGTCAGCACAGAAGCTGAAAGCCTGATATAATTTAAAATATAAGAAATTCGGAAAATTTTATAACAAAATACATTGTAATGGGGAAGAACAAAAATTTTTACAGGGGAAGTACTATACGCCTTAGAACTCTCATTGTAAGTCAAGTATCATTTTGGAATATCTTGTATACACCACGAATCCATAAATAAATTTTCTTTTTCCAACAAAAAGAAAAGAGAATAGAACAATTGCTTTTCATTGTACAAGAGAAGAATGACATGTTAAGTAAATCAGGACATTCAAGCCCACCTGGAGGTCAAAATCATGTTCTGAAGAGAGAGATTTAGCAGACTCTGGGATAGCTATACTTTGAAGTGGCTGTCCACAACTCAGCCCTAGAAGCAAGCGACTGACTTCCTATAAAAATTAATTAAGAACGCCAATTTTATGAGTAAACCATAAACAGACCTCAAATATAATCAAAAGTAATATCATATCAACAAAAAATTCCAGGCATTCTACCATAATCAGCACTAATATCAATAAAAACACTATTAGGAGACTCGTTGGGGTTGGCAGAATGGTAGAGACTGATGCAAACAATGCTGGAAATGCTATTTCTAATCCCTCCATTGCCATTCTAGTAAACAAACAATTTCAGCAGGCCACTCATGCCACCCTTGGGTGAAGCTTTGCCCTATACTGGTTGACAATACTGTTTACAAGTGCCCATGGGAGTAGTCGACCAAAAGGTCAGATACCCTTATACGTGTGTGCTTCTGTCTGTTTTTTGCCCAAAAAGTTTAGGAGTAAATTTGAAAAACACTGTACTCCACAAAGTAAACAGTCCAGATTGAAATTGCTTCGTCTGTTGATTCCCAATTCAGTACATAATATCTCCAAATCAGACTCAAAATCCACATAGATATCAAGAAACCAAATTGAAATTCATCAATATATATATATATATATAAAAAAAGTACAAAACAACAAAATTATTGAAAAAAACAAAAAAACGACCTGACAGACTTGGGGTTGGAGATTTGCGCTCAGAAGGCGGTCAAGTGACTCGTACCCACAAATCGATCCATCTGTAACGCTCTGCTTCTGCTCTGAATCCCCATTTTCTTTCCCAATTTCTTCACTTCTCTCCATTTCTGAGCCTCCCCCGCTCTGTTTCTGGTCAAAGAAGAGTTTTTAACTCACAAGCACAAGCCTTTGAAAATAAAGCCATGATGGATACAAATAGGCTGGGGTCGGATAACGTCACTTTGAATATTGAATTTATTACTTATTAGACTGGCCATTTTAGATTCGGAACTAAAAAGTGAACTCATAATTCACTTATATAGGCCTTAAATTAGGTTAAGTACACTTAATTTTTAAAAGAATTAAAATTTTTTAATATTTTTTAATTCTTTTTAAAAAATTTAATATTAATTAGTTATTTAATAAAAAAATAACAAATTTATATTAACTTTAATAATTTAGAAAATTATTATTTTTAATATTTTATTTTATTTTCTATTTAAAAATTTAAATTAAAAATATAATCAATTAAAATTTTGTATTTAAAAAATAATTAATTTTAATCAAACCACCTTAAATTGATTTATCCAATTTTAATCCAATTCAATTGAATTTAAATAATTTTAATTTAAATTATATCAAATTTTAATTTAATGCTTTAAAACTCATAACTTTAAGCTTAGTTTGATAATACTGTTTATAATACTTTTCATACATATTTACAATACTTTTTATAATTTATGCATTTGATAAATTATTCATTTTTATTTTTTTTTAAATATATACAAAAGTTATCTTATTTAAAATTAATAAAATTTCTAAATAATTTAATAAAATTTTCAAATCCATTTCATACATTATATATCAAATTATTAATTAATTTAATTTTAAATAGCAATATATCTAATTAAGTAATTTTATAATAAATAATTTTTTAAAATATAATTACTAAATAATAAAATATTTTTTATGATAATATGATACAACATTTTTAAGGATTACAACTACAAAATAATACGATCCCCACGTTATGACCTAGTAGACCAGAGCTTTGATAAAGTAAAAATAACCTCCCGTGAGTTAGTTTTCAATCCCCATGAACGAAGTTTCTCATCCCTTCAAATTACCTTGTTCAAAAAATAAATAAATAAATAAGACTACAAAATAATACAAGATAATCTTGTCAAATTGAGATTTTTTTTTATTTTAATTGTATAATAAAACATAATTATTTTTTATTTTTTATCTCATTTTATTTATATATTATATAATTTGAATTTAAAATTTTTTATTGAATAAAAGAAGATAACTAATAAATTATTTAATTTATAAAAAAATTGAAATGTTTAGATCAACCTGATTTTGCTAGTTTGGTCCACACTTGTCTACTTGCTGTTAGTAGATAAAAATCCCTGCAACTGATACCTGATCTTTCGAATTAATTGACTAACCTGTGAATTTAAAGTGCATTTCCACTATCGAACTTGTTAAAAAAGAAGAAAAAAAAAAACCCTGCAACTGAAATGCCTACTGTGGATTAGTAAAGGGAAGTGTACAGCTGATTATATGGACTGTGATGACACGTGTCCATCCATTTTCCGTCGCAACCGCTATCTCTCAGTCTCTCTCAACCGCTTGCCTTGAATGGCAGGTGAAAAGAGTCCCGCTTTCCAGAACCCAACAGCGGGTGGACGAAAACAAGAGGAAGAAACGAGAAAACGTTTCATGTTATCGGAGCAAAGATGGCGATAAGCAGAGGACAAGAGGAGGACGGCTCATCCTCGGCGCCTCCAACAGGACGTCTTAATAGACGGGACCCGTTCTTGATCATATGCAGGTGTTTCAGCGTCGTTACTGCTCTCGCCGGGATCCTCTGCATTGCCGTCAACGTCCTCTCCGCCATCCGATCCTTCCAGAACGGATCCGATGTATCTAAGCTCACACAGTTTGACTTCATCTTCCTTCTTCTTGAATGTAGATTATACATATACATTTGTGGGTTTTTGATTGTTGATTTTTTTTTGGTAGATTTTCGATGGAGTATTTCGTTGTTATGCCGTGGTTATTGCTTTCTTAATGGTTTTGACCGAGACGGAGTGGAGTTTTATTATGAAGTTCTCGAAGGTTTGTTCTTCTGAATTCTCTTCTTCCATTGAAAAACCTACTGCAGTTGTTTAGGGCTATATACATTTTTCCTTATAAAGTTTAAGAAATTCCTATTCCTGTTAATGTCTAGATCCTTATTCATGTTTTCTAACATTGAATTTTCATTCAAAGTTGTGCAGATTTTGGAATACTGGGCTGGTAGGGGTATGCTACAAATCTTGTATGTACCTACTTTTCATTAAAAGCTTTTATTTTGCTTACATTTTCGTCTTCTCGAGATGACTAGGACCAGAACTTGATGATGTGAAGCATTAGCGAGATAAAAATGGGAAAAATTGTAGTGAGGGTAAAGGAAGAATGCTACCGTGTGAAAATTTTAGCTGCATGTTGTTTGGTTTGGACCATCATTAGTGTCTTACATATTATTGCGTAGGTACATTACATTACCAAGAAGAACCTGATTTGGTCTTTCTAAAGTTGTGATTGTCCTCTGCAGTGTTGCAGTAATGACAAGAGCTTATTCTTCCTATGGGTCCACGCAGAAGGACCTTCTTCTTCTTCAGAACATAGCGTGCTATTTTCTCCTTGGTTGCGGTCTGATCTATGTGATTTCGGTAAGGATAACAGGAAAAAATCAATTACCTCTACAGTGAAATGGAAGCCCCTCTACCTCTTATTCTCTATTGTCCCTTACTATAGTTATATCCCTGGGCACTCAACTGATATATAACATTGTGAATTGGGGGGAATTTAGTCTTTGTTGCTGAGTTGGGATGCCCTTTAATGCTTAAATTGAATGCCAATTGTCAGGGACTCTTATGCATTGGCTTTCTCAAACGTGCTCACCAAGAGAAAGAAATTTCAAGGGAGCAAGCTATTAGGGATCTAGAGGTAAGCAACAAAAGTTTAAGAAGATATTTACCCTTTAGTCTCTACCCTGCCTTCAAGAATCAGGATTACTTTTTCTTTTTGTTTCATCTTTATGCTTTTGCCTTTAATTTAGCTGCAATCATGTTGGGTGTTTCGTTCAGGGAAAGATAAGGATTTTGGTTGCTTAACACTTAAGCAATGCTGTAAAGTCTTGTTTAGCAGAGTTGCTGTTTCTTGCTTTTGTGGTTCCACTACTGAGCCTTCATATTTTGGCATCTTCTTGTGGCCATGAAGGCAAATATTGAAATATTGAAATATAGAAATTGAGTTTTACTTGAACTTCATGCACAGGAATTGGAACGGCGCAGAGAGGAACTCGAACAATTGCTTTTGACAGAAGAGGCTTGAGACAACTTGTGTGGTTCATCCGGAGGAAACACTAACTGTTTAAGTTCAGGGGAAAAGGATATGAGTATGACCTCCCAGAATTCCCTGAGTACAGGATGTTTGTTTGCTATTCTGATCTTGTGCTTTTCAACTTCTTTTTTTTTTTTTTTTTTT